GGGGGGGGGGTGTCTATGGTGGCAGAGTCCTAAGGTGGGGCCAGGCTCCTGCCAATCATCCCTGGCCTCTCCCAAGACAGCAGCACTGAATTAGGTGTGTGCAAAGGCCCTGGGAAAGGACTAGAAAACATGCCACATGCTTCAATTGTGGGGGTGTCCTAGAGCCAGAAAAGCACAGGCTTTGAGGTCAGATCTGGCCTATAATCTTTCAAACAATCTTCACTTTTTGGTTTCACCTTTCCTTAAAAGGGGATCACAGTAATTCTCACTTCAGAGTGTTGTTGTAGACTGAAGCTAGATGTTAGGCTTGAAGTTAAAGCATAAAACTGTATTGATGATCATCAGAATAAAAGTAATCATAGCTGACATTTATTGAGCACTTATTGCTAGCCACAGTGCTAATTGTTTTACATATGTTGGGTTATTTAATCCTCACAACAATTCTCTGATCCAATAACTTCTGCAGAGATATAACCACTGTTAGCTCCTTCCCTCTGGTGGCAGAGTGCCTGGGTGCAGAAGAATGGGCACATCCAGGGACTGTCAGTCACAAAAGCCAACCCAAAACTGGCCTTTTGCAAGATAGGGTTTTAGTATAGGAGGCTCCAAAACAGCATCTTCAGCCACACTCATGAACATCAGTTTAGGAGCAATTGTTCTATCTTGGCCTTAGTCATCCATAAGAAACCCTAAAAAACTGTATTTCTTGAGTTTCAGCTCTTTTAACAAGTGGCATTGAAAGAAAAACAGTCCAAAACAGAAAAGAAATCACAATTAAAAAAAAATGGAGTAGCTTTTTATTATTTAGTTTAAGAACTTAGGTCCCTAAGCAAATTTTAACATGATCCAGAACACAGCACTTATATACTATGACAGAAAAAACTCTTTGCCACACTATGTAGATCCACAATTACTACTAGGTCTACAATCCCTTATCTGAAATATTTTTGGCTAAATATGTTTCAGAATTCAAAATTTAAAATCTTTTTAAAATTTTTTAAAAATCTCCCTAGAAATGTTGGAGCAGGATGAAAAATCATTCCATTGCCTGGAAAAACTGAATTTGCATCTTTCACCCTCAAAAGACTGCGCCATCTCTCCTCTTATTTCCCTACTCCTCTCACCCTCAAAAGTCTGTGCCATCTCTCCTCTTACCCCAGTCAGAGCTGCCCTTGAGGTCAGCATACCAGCCTCTGGTCTCTACTCCCTTCCCCCTCCCCTTCTGTGTTCATCAATCTTTTGTCCTGCTGTCAGTAATTCTCTCTCCTTTCCCATGTAAGTCCCCTTCAGTTTCTTAACTTTGTCCACTGCCCTGATGGAACATACCTTCTGCAAGGGGAGAGCAGTGAGGAAAGCTCTCAGTAAATCTTTTTCTGAGTATTCACCCAGTAAATCTTTTTTCTGACACACATGCTTATGGAGTGAGTGCCAAGAAACAGCTGCAAGGGGAGTTGTGTTGACCTACTCGCAACTGAGGGACACTGTTGTAGAACACTGTTGCTCCTGATTCTCTTTGGGTCCTGCACACTCAGACAGTGAGAGCCCAAGGCAAAGGGGCCCAGGATGCCTTCATGGCTTCCCCTCTATAGCGTGTGCCTCTACTGAGCAGCGGGTTACGGCTATTGGTTATAAACATTACTTGGTAACTTAATACAAGCTCGCTCCTGTTTTAATATTTTACATTATTTTATTTAAAACCCCGTCGGTGCACCCCTTCGTTACAGCCCATAACTCTTAATTCACTTCAGTGGGTCTATGCACACTCTGAAATCACATGGAGAACATTGTGAGTACCGGCATTTTCCTGGAGAGGGCGCTGTAGTTTTCATCAGGTTCACCAAGGAGCCCATGACCCTTGGAATACAGTTCATAACACTTGGACTCCAGAGAGTGTCCCAGGCCCCATAGCAGAGGACTCTCTCTACCAATTGTCCAGACCTCAATCGCCAGTCCCTGCCTCCTGCTTTAAGCCCCGTAAAAAGTATACACCGCATCCCACACGCTGCCCCTGACTCATCCTGCTTTCTTGAGAGCCATTCCTCCCTTTGTTCCTCCTTCTCAGGCTCACACTTTATGTTGCCCAGTTGACCTTGACCACTTTACACGCTTCTTAGCTCAGGCCTCTTCTCCTCACGAAAATCTTTCTTGAGCTCACTCTGGGCTCTGCCTTCCCAAGCTCTTGACAAATTATTTTGAAATATCCATCTGCAGTTCTGTTCCTCCCAGTCCACTTTGCCCAACACCTTCACCACTGCGGGGGCTGACCAGCAGCCCCTGAACGATGGATGAACAGATTACTCAGACACAGTTTGACTGTGAGAGAGAGGGCTAAGGGGCTCCTGGCTTTAGCAGCCAGAGCAGCCTGGATTGCCTGCCTTGTTAGCCTTTTATTGCAGTTTTTATCTTTAGATACAATCAGAAGGGTGAGTAATCTTGGGAGGACACCTGTGTTTACATTGTCCTCTAGGCAAGGGCATCCAGGGATTAAGCATAAGGATTCCAGTAAACACCTGGGGTCTATATGCAATCAGACTTGTTTGGAAAGGTCAAGGAATAATTAGGGGCACCACCTTCGACACTCTCCTATGTCTCCCCTAAGTTGGAATTCTGATTAACAGGGCAGGTGGCCTTCCACACACTTCCCTTTTATCAGAATGTCCTCCTTACAACTTTCCAACCAAGTCTCTTATGCTCTCCAACACCACAGTAACCATTACTAACAAGTTAATGTAACCACACATTCTAGCTCAGCAGCTGACATATTACAGAAGGAGCAAAATATGTATATATTTGCCCTATCTGGTTTGGCTCAGTGGATAAAGCGTTGGCCTGCAGGACTGAAGGGTCCCAGGTTTGATTCCAGTCAAGGGCATATGCCTGGTTGCAGGCTTGATCCCCAGTAGGGGTCATGCAGGAGGGAGCTGATCAATGATTCTCTCTCATAATTGATGTGTCAATCTTTTTCTCCCTCTCCCTTCCTCTCTGAATTAATAAAAATATATTTTAAAAAATGTACATGTTTGTTGAAATGAATTGATACAAAACATATTATACGCTGAAAGAGGCTTCAAGGAGCTTTAATTACCACTGAAAAATAAATACTACTATATCTGTACTGTTTTAATTTTTTATAAGAGGAAAAATTAATGTATTATTTCTATAATTTACAATGATTTTTAAATAAATTTAAAATAATTATGCACAATAGTATGCACATAAGATGTTCCTAAGTCAATGGTAGGTTTTTTTTCTCTCTGACAAAAAAGCAGTCCTGTGTTCTCTTTTTCTAATACATACTAGAATGTACTAGAAAGTTTGTTACCAGGGTCTTTGAAATTATCTTATTTATTTAGGACAATGTATCTGAATGCGGGTTTTGCTCATTAACGCTGCCTTTTTGCCTACTCTTTCTTTGTCAAGGTGAGGGCCCTGTGGTGACCTCCAAGTATGAATGCTATGGCTGCGTGCACCCCATATCGACTGCCAGCGCTGATTTGGACCCTGTTCTGAGACATGCCATTCAGCATTTTAACAACCACACTAATCATCCCCACCTCTTTGCTCTTAAAGAAGTAAAAAGGGCACAGAGACAGGTTTGTGCTTTAGTTTCCATTTCTCACAGTATTGTTAAAATTTGTTGGATATTTATGTTTAGGGTTTCATTACTTAAAATAAACCATTGGTCAATAGAAAACCTATGATTCCATGAGTGGTGGTGAGGGAGCTCTTTTATGTCCGCATCTGACTGGCATAGGAGGTAAAGAGCTTTCTCTTGAGGCAAAGTGATTCAGATGCTGCAATATATCAGCGTCTAATTATGAGGGACTTACTTTAGTTAGTAACATTCCCTGCTTTTAATAGACCAGCCAACTTCCCTTCATGCAAGATGCATGTTCTACTCAATTACGTTCATAACCAGCTATCGGGGTGGGACTAACCCAAGATAAAGCAGCACAAAACTTACTGCCTGACTGTCTGGGAACCTGAGAACTTATCTGTAAAGGCCATTCTAGCTCCAAAGTGTTTGTAACCATCTAGAAGCGTATTATTCATATTTCACTAAATTCAAAGGGACATTATTTTTCTGTTGCCTGGCAGAGGAAATATTTCTAGGTTTTTCTTAAGAAAATACAGTAACTCCACATAGATATTGCTTTTTATTTTCAGATGTATAAGAGTATGTGTGTGTGTGTGTGTGTGTGTGTGCGCGCGCGCGCTGAGGAGTGTGAGAGTCATAAAGTGCTCAATATTTATTCAGTCATTACTTTTGCCTAGTCCTAAGAGTTTATATTTTTGAGTACTTGCAATATGCCAGGCAGTATTCTAAGTTCCTCATAACACAGTGAATAATATTTAAACTGCCCTTTATTCAATTCAACATTGTTTCAGGTGGTGTCTGGATGGAACTATGAAGTTACTTACTTAATTCAGCAAACTAATTGTTCCAAGGAGAATTTTAAATTCTTAACCCAAGACTGCATGGCCCTTCCCAATGGTGTAAGTTGGCAAAAACTGAATTATAAAGTTATTAGCATTTGGTGTCCAGTATTTACAGGTGTGGGAATACTAAGCTACATAGGAAGACTTGGCCAGTAAGATATTAGATGGCATGCATGAATTCACAGCTACATTCTCCATGTCACTAGTCAAGCTGTCTTACCTACCTGGTCAAAAGATCTGTACACCTGGCAATAAGCATTTACAGATATAACCGGGCTTGAGATAAAATGATGCCATGTCAAGTTTGTCTGTTCATGTCTTCACACTTCCCTGTCTCCCTTTCTTCCCCACCTGCTTAAGGTCCTTCCCAGTGTTCCTAAGCCCTGCCCAGGACACTCCTTAACTTCCAACTTGCCTTTGCTTCCCCCCGCCTGCCCACCTTCCCCTCACCTCTCCTTTATTTTTGTTACACTTCCTGAGCCTCTGCCACTTTATCAGAACCAAAATTATGTTACAAGAGAAGATCACAAGGTGGCAGCAGTTAGTGCATGTGCAGATCCCTAAGGCACAATGACCATCCCAGGGATATTTGCATTTTAGCAGAAAACTACTTTAAGCAAAGGATTGCTTTAAGCCCTTTAGTCTGTTGTTCTACTTCTACAATTCTATTCTGTGGAAAGAAAATGAGGAAGCCAGACATTAAGATATTAATTTCAGCATTATTAATAGAAAAACATTGGAAATGTTTTCAACATTAGGGGATGTTTAAATAACTTACAGTATATCCACACAGTAAAATATGTGTAGCCATTAAAAGTATGTTTACAGATTTTTTAGTGACTTAGTAAAATGGTTATAATATGGTAAGTTAAAAAATATATAAAATTATAGGTACACATTTACTTAAATATATAAAGTAAATGTAAATATCAAAAGTGATGGAGGGTCCCTGGGTGGTTTGGTTCAGTGTAGAGCTTCGGACTGCGGACCAAAGGGACCCTGGTTCAATTCTGGTCAAGGGCACTTTACTCGGTTGCAAGCACTTTCCAGCCCAGACCAGCCCCTCGTTCAGGGCATGTGCAGGAGACAACCTATTGATGTGTTTCTCTCACATCAATATTTCTCTCTGTCTTTCCCTTTCTCTTCCACTCTCTCTAAAGTCAATGGCAAAATATCTTCAGGTGAGGATTAACAACAACAAAATAAGTGATGGAGGGGAGCATTTGAGATCTTGCTCCCTGTCATATGTTGTTAGTTTTCCTAACAACATACCACAAAATACCACATGCTGGCACGCACGTGCTGTGCAATTGAAACTTCTTGGCCCATGCACAGAAGTCGATATTTTGTGGAAGAGCCACACTCAAGAGGCCAAAGAGCCTCATGTGGCTTGTGAGCCGCAGTTTGCTGACCATTGGAACTCATAAAAAAATTTTAAGTGATGAAAAAAAATCTGCAAAAATATAAAACAGAGTAAACTTTCAGTTGGAACTATGGGTGCCTTTTTTGATTTTATACTTTTTGGAACTCTTTAATACTTGCCAATGTTTCTAATCAAGCAGGTATTTATTTAATAATTGGGAGAAAAGTTAAAAGGACACTATTAAGAGAGTGAAAAGACAACCCAGAAAATGGGAGAAATTATTTACATCATATATCTAATAAAAATTAAGTATGCAATACATAAATAACTCCTATAAAACAACAACAAAAAGACAATCAACCTAATTTTCAAATGGGCAAAAGACTTTAAAATAAACATTTCTCTAAAGAAGATATGCAAATAGTAATTAAACACATGAAAAGATGCTCAACATAATTAGCTACGACGGTGTGTGTGTGTGTGTGTGTGTAAAACATGTTACAAGAGAGTATCACAGTGAGATGCCATTTCACACCTAAAAGATGGCTATAATTTTTTAAAAATTGGAAAATAACTAGTATTGGGGAGGACGTGGAAAAATTGAAACCTTTGTCCATTGCTGATGAGAATGTAAATGGTGCAGCCACTGTGGAAAACACTTTGGTAGTTCCTCAAAAAGTTACACATAGACTTACCATATGACACAGCAATTGCACTCCTAGGTATGTACCCAAAAGAATTAAAAAACAGGGAGTCAAACAAATATTTACAAGCCAGGATTCGTTGCAATATTATTCACAATAGACAAAAAGTGGGAACAACCCAAGTGTCCATCAATAGATGAGTGGAAAAACAAAATGTGATGTATATATAAAACAATGGAATGTTCTTTAGCCATAGAGAGAAATGAAATCTGCCACAATCTACAACTTAGATGAACCTTGAAAACATTATGCTAAGTGAAAGAAGCCAGACATAAAAAGACAAATATTGTATGATTCCACTTATATGAAATATCTAACACATGCATAGGAACAAAAGTAGATTCGAGTTTATCATGGGCTAGTGGGAGGGAGAATGGAAATTTATTGCTTAATGGGTACAGAATTTGTGTTTGGAATGATGAAAACTATTGGAAATAAATAGCAGTGATGGTTAAATAATGTAATTAATATCACTGAGTTATATACTTAAAAATGGTTGAAATGGCAAATTTTATGTTACATATATTTTACCATAATAAAAAAATAGTAAAATAAGAAGAGAGAGAGAGAGAAAGAGAGAGAGAGAGAGAAAGAGAGAGAGAGAGAGAGACTCTAAAAATGTATGCTCTAGCTACTATTTGACTTTGTTACTTTTAGTCATCTGGCCTTTAAAGCATCTATTAACCCCTTTTGTTTTTTATGTTCTTTAGTTAGCCATTTGAGATTATATAAGCTTAAATGTTATCTGGCTTTAATCTCCCTGCATCTGTTTGTAAGACCTTTATTTAGTTCTTTCTTTGCAACACACACAGATGCAGGGCTGATTGGAGTCACAAATCCAATCAGATTTCTGGTATAACTTCCTGAGCTTCCACTTCCTCATCTGTAAAATGGTGAGGAATAACAGCACCGGTCTCACAGCGTTGTTACAATAACTAAAGGACACAAAATGTACATGAACTCTTTGCCTACAACTGGTAAGACTGAAGGCCTTGCTATTCCAAGTTGGTCCCTGAACCAGCAGCATCAGCATCGCCAGGGAGCTTGTTAGAAAAGCCAAATCTTGAGTTCCACCCACACCTACTGAATCTGCATGTTAACAAGATTCTCAGGTGAGTCATTTGCACTTTAAGGTTGGAAAAGCACTGATTAAAGAGTCTCATAAATAGTACTTGGGCCATACTGCATATTAGAATCACATTGCCAGCTTTAAAAATAACTACTCCTACCATTCCCCCAGGCATTTTGATTAGGTCTGGGGTGGGTCTCTAGAGTCAGAATAACCTAAAAGCTTCAAGGTGAATCAAATATGCTAATAGAATTAAGAAATTCAGAGCTACTGCCGGTATCCATCTCCTCATCCAAAATTAAGGTATTGTAAGTGTGGTATTCCTTGTATCTTTAACAACTATGACATTATATATTTCCCCTTATTGGAAATAAACATTTCCAATGCAGAAGGCAATGCAGAAACATAGAAAACAATAATAATATTAAACCACATACCCAAATACCCAAAGATATCTTAGTGTATTTTCCTCTTATCTTTTTTGGGGGGGTGGAAGAGTAGAGGAGATATAGACAATTTGGTGATTTTTTTGGTTAATAATTGTCATTATTTTACATGCTGCATTTAAAAAATATTTTTATTGATTTCAGAAAGAAAGGGAGAGGGAGAGAGAAATAGAAATATTACATGCTCTACACTGGGGATTGAGCCCACAATCCAGGCATGTGCCCTGACCAGGAATCAAACAGTGACCTCCTGGTTCATAGGTCAACGCTCAACACTGAGCCATGCTGTCCAGGCTTACATGCTGCATTTTTTTCACATAAGAATTTTCCTACCTCATTAAAACTCTTGATAAACTTTCTTTTAAATAAAAGTATAATATCCTAGTAAAGATATGATAGATTGTTTTTTTAAATGATTTTCAAATAGTTAGACATTTGAGTTGTTTCCATTTTTATTATCATTAATAACTCACCAAACATTCTTGAGAATAAAGCTATTTCTGTATTTGGTATGTTCTTATTTTCATGAATAGAAATTTGTTAGAAATTTATGGATTGAATTTATGAATTGTTTTCCATATCCTTTGTCCATTTCTCTTTGGGATAAATCTTAATTATTTGAAAAAAAAACTATTTCTGTATTAAAGGTATCAGTATTTTGTCATATTTTCTCAGTTGTTCATTTTTTAGTTTTCATTATAGTATTCTGACTTACCAATAGATTTTGCTTATTGATGACCAAATCTAATAACATGTTTCTTTTGAGTTCTTCCACCATTTGCTCAGTATTCATCTTTTTTCCCTAGTTTGTCTAGTCAGTATTTTTAAATATAGCTTTTGAACCTATCTGGAATTAATTTTAATGTATCTTTTGAGGTCTCTAAATTGAGACTTTTTTCAAGAGGATAACCAGATATCTCAACATTCTTCCTTTATACATAAATTTGTGACAACCTTAATTCCATAATAGTTTCTTATGAAAAACCTGTTCTCTACTAATATATTTGTACAGCCATCTTTTAATAGTAGGTTTAAATTTGTGATTTATTATTCTAGTGTTTATAACTTCAAAACCAACCTTAGAATAAGATTATAAGAAAAACATATGTCATATTTGGTTTTCCTCTTTTCCTACTGCCTTCTATTTTTTAGTTAGGTGGTTAGCCACTATTTTTTGACTTGGGTAGTTTGCCTGTATTTTCTATATTCAGAAACAGTTTACATAGGAAGGAACTAAATGTTCCTTTAATTTTAAAAATTATTCATCTATAAAACATCTATGTTGTTTGGAGGTGAGAAATGGAATGGAAGTTGAGAGTAATGATAGCATTCTCTGCTCTTCAGTTATTGGTTCATTCAAATATGTTCTTGTGTTTAAGTCAGCAATGGTTATTTATAGTTTTCCAGAAAAGTATCCATTTCTTTGGGATTTAAAGTAGCATACACTTGTTCATAATTATTCTCTTATATTTTTA